CGCACCGGGGGCGGCCGACGCCACTTCGCCGGGCGGTCTCCGCCTCCCTCCGAGAGCACACACGAGGCATTTGCGACGCCCGAAACATTTTCCTTTTATTGATTTATTTACTAGCGGACCCGCCAATGCTTCGATGTTGCAGCGTACTAAATAAATACAATTCATGTTCAAAATCAATTTATTCAATGAAGATTCACTACTCACTAATTACAACTTAACCATTAATTAACTATACTTTAACTACGCATTAACTACACTTAAATATATTGCACTGCATTCTAAAAATAAAAAATTCGAAGAATGTTGTGCACCGCCTGCATTTGACTCCGACTTCATGCTTTCTAGATTGCAACTTCGATGTTATTCGATATTACGAGGCGTAAAGATCCAAAAGATATACATAGATCGCACTTCAAGCAATGTTTTCAGAGAATGGCCTAGAACCCACCTCGTCGATTAACTTTGCTAAAAGAACCCCGCCACAAGTCCGATTTACTTTAAACTTTTAAATACCCCCGACACCAATAAGGATAAAGTGTGAACATTTCAGCGAAATCGGTCGAGTAGTTTCTGCGCCTATATGCCACCCACATTCGCAATTCCCTCATATATATATATATATATATATATATATATATATATATATATATATAAACATACATACACATGCGTGAAGAGAAGCGTAGGAAGAAGAGTAGCTGTTTAATTGTTTTATATATGATGTCAAGGATTGAACGTCAAGATCGCGTTGGATTTGATTATTTTGGACAAACCAAGTGGGGGTTTGTAATTTTACGGATCTATTTTCTTTGAAATTACTGAAGGCGATTGAGATTAGCATAGGGATGCTGTAAACCATACTGAGGAGGCGAAAGTTAACATGGGAACGTGTATATTTGTTCCGTATGTTGGGTGTCAGCGAGCTTGAGGTTTTTTCCCCAGAATCATATCCATTGCGCTATTGCTCTAGTCGGTAGTTTCTATGATCACATCCAGATGAATGTCGGAGCAGCACCCTACATAACGAATCACGGAGCGCGTGTCAACTTTCCTCCCTCCTCCTCTCCCTTGTTTGGAACGAACGAGTCAGAAGTTAAGTTGAGTGGGTTACGAGCAGATGATTCGTACTTCGTACGTGCTCAGAGTTACGGTTCGCGGTCATTTATCAGCGGCGACAGATGATTGCTGCTGAAATGGCTGACACGCCGATCGTTGATTCACTTTAATGAGTCATTCATTTCCCGTACAAATTGTCCCACTGCCCCTGATATAAATAATAATATAAATCAGTGTTCATCAAGCACATTTTGCGCCTGCGATGCGAGTATACACCTGGTATTTAAATGCCAACATTCGACTCTTTTCGGATCACGATGATAGACACTGGGAACTTGAAAAGAAACAATGTCAACAATCCAATAATTAAGCTTGCTAGTTTTCAGAAATTAATGACTTATAAAATATACTTAATATTAATTAATTATATGTAAGTTATATATACTTCTTGTATTATTACTAGTATTATTAATATAAGTAAAATAAATTATACTTATAAAAATATCACCAAGCGGGAACGATGGTCTACAAATAAACTAGTTCGCCATTAGTTCGTCGTGATCTCATTCTTGATGACGATACGACTTTTCAACTCCTCGTTCCACGATTTATTTTACCCCCTTGTTAACCAGAAAACAAACGTGCAAGTGCTCTACGTTATTACGTTAGCTGACGCAACTGTTTTCCGCAAAGTTCCGAGAATTGCAGTGAGGTATTTTCATTGACCATTTTTGTTGACAGTGTATTCCGAACAAAAAAGCAAAAGGGAAAGGAACGAAAATTTAAGTAAGCACAATATACCTCTTTAAAATCCACATTTTAATAGATAAAACGCCGCATTTTAGGGTAATGGTTCAACTTCAGTTATCGAAAATGTTCAGAACTGAAGGCATTGATGTATTTCGTTCATAAAGTAACTTTTTCCTTTTTTCAATTTTGTTGGTACTCTCATACTATCCTGAGAATAAACAAGTGTTTACTGAATTAGGTACTCAAGGTACATCATGCAGAGAGATTCTCATAAGGAGAGCGAAAACAGGTCTTTAACACTAATCAGTGTCTTCGAAGAAGTGCGATGTAGGTTTTAGGCTTAAACAACGATTAGAACAAAGGCAAAATTCTTTCAAATGTTAACAAGTATTATGCGAGGTAGAGTCCATCCATATCACATTGTCTATTGTTTATAATTTATTGATGGACATAAACCAACTCATCACGTTTTAACAACTAATTACTTCCAATATTAGAAGCCCAACTTGCAGTAGGGCAACCAGAAGTGACATTGGGTAATACAGCCAATATGACCATCCTACAAGTTATTCTACGTACACACTCGGTACATACCGTCAAACGGGGCGAGACTGGGTTAGGCTCCATTTCATGGGATATTCGCATCCTATTGACAGGCATAACAACTTTTCTGTTTATAACTTATACAAATAGTTCTTCGTTCAAATAATAGCATAGTTCTTATACCTCGCAAAAGGATCCGAATATCGCACGAAATGAAACCCGGTACATTCTCACTCCATGTGGCACCGTTTGACGCTAGTGACAACGAACCAATTGAATCAGTATGACGAGAAAGGGAAAGAGTCAAAAATGCAATTTGTTTCTTATGTTGGAAAGTTGCTCTTTAAGGCAAAGCGAAGAACGTAATCATGTCGTAACAGTGTTTAGACTATCATTAGTGAATTCTCACAGAAAATATTGGACATGATAATAAAACATTTGTGAGTATTTTATAATGTTTCCTTCTTCATGAAAAGTGAAGAATGTCTCCTTCCTTTCGATCATAACATGATTAAGACGCAGTAATAGTATAATATTTCTCACTTTTCCAGGTATTTATTTATCTCAACATTCCGTTAGTAAGAGGAATGAATTTTATCAACAGTGTAAAAAGAACGAACAACCCTATATTTACTAGGCTGTCCGGGTGACGCCGCGTCCATGGTGAAGGTGCCAAAGGCACCTTAGGCACCTTCGCCATGGACGCGGCGTCATCGTCACCCGGACAGCCTAGTAAATCCTGACTCCGGCCGCGGAAGCCTACGCTCTCACTTGAGCAACCCTATGCACCCTGAGAAGCAATAATGGCTGGTTCCCTGTCTGCTGAGCCCGACCGAGCTGCAGTTGGCCGGGCAGCGCACTCACCGTGGCGGTCCTCGTCGTCGGTGGCCGGGCCCTCGCCGGGCGGGGGCGCGGGCTCCCGCAGGCACGCGACCAGCGCCAGCGCCGGGTGCTGCGCGGGGGCGTGCGCGGGCTGCGGGGCGGGCGCCGGCGGGCCCCGCCGCCGCCCACGCGCCGCCGCGGCCGCCGCCGCCATCGCAGGGCGCCACCGCCGCGCCGTCGCACGTCTTGGCGCTCGCCTCGACGCGCGCAGCCAGTCCGCCGCCGCCGCTGCTCCTCCTCTGGCGCACCGGGTCATGGCCAGGCTTCAAGGTCAGGGCGCGCGCGCGCGCCTGCCCTAGGAAAAACGGAAGAAAATAAAACAAACAGGGGGATCGACTGCCTGGCCGCGGGCAGGGGCGGGGGAAAAGGGCGAGGGAGGCTGCCTCCATGGCAACGCGCGTACGCACAGCTGGCCCTCCGCCGGCCCCCGCAGCCTTGGCACTGCACGCGGCCAACCGGCGCAGCAGCATTCGGCTGCTCACAAGATGCACAGCGGACTCACAGGGGGTTATATTATCAAGGAGAACTTGTACGGCTACAGGTGAATAGGCCCGACACAAGCAATATAAAGAAAAATTGGATGAACTTTACTTCGCTTGAAAGAAAAGAACGTGTTCGTTGGTTTTGGTGAACAGTTTGAGAGACTTGAAAGGCTCATGTTTTTGTAGAATTATTATTAGGGAAATAAAAATTAAATACTGTACGTAGTTGCTGTCTTTTTTTAATTATTTAAATACTTAATATAATTACTGTAAAAGAATGAAACATGTTCTCCTGGTTACATATAAATAGCTTTAAAATTGGATTTTTTTGTAATCTTAAATGCATCCAATTTGTCCAGAAAAAATATTAGAAAATACATAATAAATGTATATTAACGAATGCCTCAACATTTTGCTGGTGTATGGGTAGACTTAAATGTGATGTTATATCTTATATTGCCCCACGCACTGAAAACGAATCAGTAGCATTCATCCATGCTGAAATGTATTAATTAATGTATTAAATAGGAGTTAAAAGGAGATCTACTTAACAGGTTTTAAATTTGACAAAACCTTTTAATAGTTTGCCAAGGTGAGGCAACCATCTTTAAAAGCCCAAAATGTGTCGTATTGAATTGGCACTTGATATTCGGGAAGTTTGATTGTGTTGCGTGCGCTCTATACTTACCGGACTATCTTATTTTGTACTTACTGAGTATTGAGGCTGTACTCTTCCTCTCGATCATAACATGATTAAGGCACAATAATAAAATAATATTTCTCACTTTTCCAGGAATTTATTTATCTCAATATTCTTTTAGTTAGAGGAATGAATTTTATCAATAGTGTAAAATGAACGAGCATTGTTTTTTGTTTTTTAATCCCCACCCTTCCGGTCACGTCCTGCTCATCCCATCCCCACCCCGTCGCACTCTGTAGTTCCTGACACGCCCATTCCCACCTCGACCACGTCCGCCTGGTCGTCCTGCAGCCAGGTAATTCGTAACGTCTATATCATCGCGGGTAGCATTAACCAAAATCAAACACTGTTTCTCCTTCGAAATCTTATATCACCCCTTCAGTCAAATTTTGAAATATTCTTTTCTTGACAGCCAACATACATCGTAACATTTCATCGTTTCTTCCTCAATAGTTTTGCCTTTGCACTGGTGATAGCCAGCGAGGTTCTCCTCTCACTTAGAACTTTGATACTTACTACTTTCACTTACTGCATTGCATGCAAATTGCAAGGAAGGCCCTGAAGGGGGCGGGGGGGGGGGGCGCTCACCTGGCGGCCGGGGCCTGTCGTGTAGCGCGGCCCGCCGCGGCGCCGCAGCCGTCGCCGACGCCTCACGCGGCTGCGGCCATCCCCTCGGCGACCTGCAACACACACGCCGCGCCCGTCACACCACGGCACAAGCGTTCCACGTTCGAATCGACGCACCCACATGACGCAAAACCAGACAAGAGGCTATTTCACATACACGGAGATTAAACAGATTTCGAAAGCTTGGTCTCTTATTTATATAGGTATATAGGTATTGTGGTGAGTTTTCGTTTCCATTGGCATTTCCAATGAAATAAGTATATGCGTCGTCATTGCCAACATTATTATTTATTAAAATAGCAGCTTTCGATGGCTTAGCCATCATCGTCAGTTTTCTACATCAGAAAACTGATGCTGATGGCTAAGCCAACGAAAGATGCTATTTTAATAAATAATATTATTGGCATTTCTACATCAGAAAACTGATGCTGATGGCTAAGCCAACGAAAGCTGCTATTTTAATAAATAATATTGTTGGCAATGACTCTTATTTATGTCGTTGATGGCGATCTCAAGGCGATGGTAGGTGGGACTTGCATGCCTAGAGATGATTATCGATAGATTTGGTTACTGATAAAAAAAGTTACCAAACGCTGAAAAAAATAGTAATTGAATGTTCGACTTTCAGTGTGATATATTTATGAAAGCGGTATGTGGTGGTGAAATGTGAAAAATGGTGAAAAGTGTGAAATGTACAGTGTCCTTACAAAGTTTGGTAAAGATTAATGCAACACAAATGAGGAAAATAAATAATTTAAATAATATATTGGTAGATGCATTACGATAATTATTTTTCGCCTATCGCTAAGAGACAGGTTCCTAAAATATACCACCAGAGACCAGCACCGCACTCAGGGACAGAAAGGGATAAAACCTGACCAAAACTCCTGGAAGCCTATTGACAGGAATTTGGGCACGGGAATTATCATTAAAGGGCTAGAAATATATGATTGGACGTATATAACATCATATATAAGTTTTTGAACAGCCAATATTAAATTATGTTTTACAATACTGTATTTCATTCTGAACCTCCATCATCATTAGATAAATGTGTAAGGGACTCCTGGTTTTCTGTAAAGAAGATATTAAAGGGAGATGGAGAGCACGACAACGTCTGCCGGGTTCCGTTAGTAATGATATGCAATGCTAAAGCCTTGGTCTTCTCGACTCTCCGGGTGACGCCGCGTCGGTGGCTGAGAGGAAGACGTTTTCAAAATGCGCTTTTTAAAATTTAAAATGCTACATCCAACCATCACTATAAATTACAATTATTGCCGTGACTAAACAACTGTTCCAAGACAATGTTGAACGTGAAAAAAACTAATAACTCAACGTTTGGTTCCTCGAAATAAATGTTTGACATTCCCTTACTTCAAATTCCTCGCCAAGGTATACAAAGAATATTTACCTTAGTATATAATACTATTGCTTCAGTATCCAACATGCATGAAATTGCAAGTTTGTGGTCACTTGATTGAAAACCGCAGGCTATCATCTCTAATCCGTTTAGGGGCAGGGGTCAGCGCGTGTCATTTCCATCATACACTGTAATCCGATTGCTCCACTCGCACTGTCATACTCCATAAGCACACTTTACTTAAACTCAATGAATAACAGGCCAAATACCAAACATTCTAATTCAATACACAAGAATAGTCATACGATTTAAGGACAAGCGTTTTATGGGATTATATCCGAGTATGTCATCAATTTTTACCTATGAAGCTATCATGAATCTTTTCTTTAATATTATTTACAAATATTAAAACTCTTAATCATTAAAAGTCAATGTAGAAACGTTGCTTTATTGCTTTAAACAACACCTAGTTAAGGGAAGTATTATTAAGAATCTATTAAAGTAGTAGGTTATTGTAAAGATTATAAAGGAATCTGAATTAATGAATTCCGTCGCAGACTAAGGCATCAATGAAAACACAATACAATGTTCATATTTTATCTCGTAAAAATGTTTTAATATCAAAAATTCTGAATTGAATTATATCTGAAAATGAATCATGAAATAAATTGCAGTAAACTCTGAAATAGCCTATTTATCTGAAATTCGAATTCACTTTTAAAAGTTTTAGTACGTCCCAACTACTTCTGTAAAATGCCCTAGTGACTAACATGAAGAGAAATTCTAAATTATAGATTAACAATAATAGTCTATCTGTACCACAAACTCTCTTTAAAGTGTTTTATATTTAGGAATGAACTGCAGTGTAAATCGTGTGATAAGAAAATCAGGTCAAATTTATCGTATTTTAATCGAAAGACATTTCATAAAGAGAACATTTTAAATTCACGAATATTTATAATTCACATCTAAATTATTCTGTTGATGCATAGTCCTCTGGTTCAGCACAAACGTTCTTATTTATCATTTTCAGTCATGACAATCGGAAAAGCTAGAGAGTACATTTGCCGCTTCCGTAGAATTTTCCCATAATGGGGACTAGGTGGTGGTATAGATAGAGCTCCTAGTTAACCTTTCAAGGGCAACAACGCTAGGCACGCGGGAACAATATCTGGCGTATTTGCAAAGCGGGTGTTTTCCGATAGAAGCTAAACATAGAGCCTGCGATTAAAGGGAAGTATTGATTTCAGTGTTGCCGGCGATGCGCGTGCTAGCTGCTGATTACCTCTCGTGCCACGTAAAGCTGCTTCCAGATTTAACTCACGTCATAATCGCGGACGCTCTGGGGGCTTCTGTGAAGTTACTCGATGGCACTGAAGCGGCACTGCTAACAGTAGAAAATATTTCCTTCCTACACTTCGCGACACACTCTTCTGCGTTAAAGATAATGCGGCAGAAATGTAAAAACTGAAGTGAGTTCGTTCATTCTCTGCAGTGTTATAACGTAATCATTAAACTTTGCTCTTTAGTGAGAAAGAGAACGGAAAATGTGTTAATTATTCCCCAGCGACGCCAGCAAAGTAATAGACACAAAAGCGAAAGTTTTGACGTAGACTGCGGCAAACAACATCCATAAAAAAGAGTAACAATATTACCCTTACAATGATCCTTTTTATTAAATCGCTATTTAGTTAAGAGTTTTGTTAATTGGAAGATTAACGAACTAGGGATACTTAAAAATGTTTCATTAGAAGTCTTTTTGTACACATAGGTCATCGCGAAATGGAAATTCAAGGATACTTTGACCGAAATACTGTGAACAAAATCGTTTGTGCCCTTATTCTTCCTGCTAAGAGAACTGCTCACAGTTCGGGGGCAGCGATTCGCAGTTTGTACGCGAACTTCCGCTGCTGAAGAGCACCCTCGAGAGTGCTGCATGAATTTCGGTGTTTCACTGAATAGCGAATGCAAGTAGATGGTGGAAAGGAAACATTGTACTCTCTCTACTCAGGCAATATTTCCCATAGTGCGTACCTAGGAGGGCATTCAGTACAGCGCTAACGGAAACTCCGAGCTCTTGATTTGGATTTCATTTTGAGGCAACTAACAAACTTTAGGGATATAATTATTTCACTTTTTAACGTTAAATATGTTTCCATTATTATTACTACTATTATTATTACTACTATTATTATTTCTATTATATTATAAACAATGTATCATTAGTATCATTATCATTGCATTTTGTTAATGAATTTAGAACTATGGCATAAAGAAACGTAAGATGTGAATACGCACATATGAACATTCTCCGAATTCATGGGGAAATCGCAAAATATTAATAGTAATTCTTTAGAGTAATCTGCGTACTCGCCAGCTGAGTTTTGAAATAGTTAATCATAAACTATTGATTAAATAGTGTAGAATACAATGTGTCAAATAATTACAATTTCTTACTTGCGGCTTTTCCCAGCCTGACTGTAACCAATAAAGATCTCAGTCCCTATTGAAATTACCTTCCAGGTTCGATGGATGTGGTCTCTCGGACATTCTGTGCCCGAACGTTTCGTCTACTACTGCGGCAGACATCCTCAAGAGGCTAATAGGTACACGCGGGGTCCTTTCAAACAGCTAACTGATGACTGACCAACATTTGTTCATTGTTTTTGGCGCTGGGGCACGTGACAACGCTGGTGTCGGTGTCGACTTGAACACGGTATGTCCAATAGAATACGGTCATAAATCCCGGAAGGTAGTTTTAATATATTATCGTAGTCCCTTGTTAGATATTAATACACATGCGGCTTCTTTGGAAGTGGATCTAGAGCAGTGTGAAACTCAGCAACGTAATACTCACTAGAGTTAATGCACCGGAACTCGAGTTCACCATCTCAGCGAACTGAATGCACTGAATACGCTAACAAAATGCATCGCAAACAACCAGAAGCAAACGTAACAGAAGAACATTTGGAAAATGATTTACATAAATGTCTTCGCAGAAGTATCGATCTTGATAGAAAAACTTATCACATTTTTAGCAAAATATAGAATAGCACGTTGCAAATTCTCGAGTGTACGGCAATCTGAAACTTAATACCTGAAATTTAGGTCCAATCTACATAAGGGACGTTTTAACAAAACTACAAAACAAATTTTTAAGGCATTATCATTTCTTTCATTGAATTACATTATGCACTGGGTGTACCACAACAATAATTCAGCATTTAATTATCGTGTCAGTAGGGTACCTACAAAAAATGAGTATCCCTAAAACAAAGAATTTATTCACACAAAATAAAAATAAAAAATACAATGAAAGGAGAAATGGATGTACAGAAATCGAAATTTTGTTCATAACAAGTTGTGAAAATTCGCCAGATTAGTTCTACTGTTTCTCGCTATAGTTTAATTAAACGATGCCATATGTGTTATTCCACTCGGATGTTTTTTGTTGAAGTGTAATCTTTCACGTGGAACCAGAACCCAGAAAACGCACTTCTTGAACCTCGCCTGTTCCACGCAACGCCCACAACTCGTCCGCACGAAATTGAATACGTCGCGGCGGAGCGCTGTGCATTAAGCGCGCGCGCGAGTGGGCGGGGACCTGCCCCGCAGAGCAGTGGCATAGCGGAATGGGGGCGGCAAAATTTTAATAATAATAATAATAATAATAATAATAATAATAATAATAAT